AGTTCAATTGTAAAAAAAATGATTAATAAAATAAAGAAAGGAATTACATAGAAATATAGCTAAATTATCTTCTACACTAAATTTAATCAATCTTGTCAAGTAACTTCAAACTCACGTATTTTGATTATTATACAATTCAACACTGTAATTAAAATTTATGTGTTTGGTGAAAAAATTATTAATAAGACGCAAAATAAAGTTACCAAACGAGATCTAAATTGAGTCACAAATATTATACTTTCGGGCTACTTATAATCAAATTGGATCCGGTTCAAATAATGATAAAATACCCATCCAATAAACATGTACTAGAATATGTGGCTTTGAATCAATTTTTGAATAGACTCAAACATATCGGATGATGCTAGAATATTGTAGTTGAAGTGAAATCTTCACCAAAATTTAGTGATATTTTTATTTGAACGGCTTTCAGTTCAAGAAACAGAACAAACAATTGGAAGAGACTTAAATAGACGAACCGCAATTTCGGAATATAGCACTCCGTAAATCAAATCGGCACAAACCAGTTCCCGATATAACTATATTCATTCACTAATTAATCATTTCACTTCATAGAGGGTAATAGATCTAAGTCATCGAAAATGAAACAATGTTAATTTTTTCTAATCTTTAACATCTTGACTCTGACCAATAACTTGTGTCTTATAAAATAGTGTCACAAGTATTGTTTCAAGTGATTGTCGCATTTTTTTTGGATTTCCAAACTTCCTCTGTGAATTCGCAACATGTTATAGCTAGAAGTTAGGTTAGTCAATCCATTAATTAAGATTTTAATTAATGTCCATGCAAGCTTCTTTCTTTCTTCTCTGTAACTAAATAACTTTTTGAATAGAAGTTAGGTTAGTCAATCCATTAATTAAGATTTTAATTTGTAATAGCCTTTCTCTTCTTCTTCTACATTTGGACCCTGTTGTTTCTAGAGAAGACTCTTCTAACATTGCCAAAAGTTAGTGCAATCATCTTAATATACTAGATCAGCTTCTAATTTAGTAAATACTAAGATCACATTTTTGGGTGAACAAGAAAGAAAACATCATATGAAAATGACAAATCTTTGAGAATACAATGAACAAAATCATAATCACATATGGCAAGAACGATGTACCTAAAATGTGAATAGTAACCTGAGTTTCACGAACATAAGATATCATAGATTAGTTTAATCCCTTCCTAGTAATAGTCAACATATCATTCAATTTAATAGCACGTGTGTGACTGATAGTGCTAAATCGGGTTACAAAATGAAGCCAATTTTTTATTAGAGGTGGGATGATATGCATCGACATTCACCACAAGACCACGTGAATGACACACGATGAATAAAAATGAGATACCTAAGGATGCAACACTGCGTTATCAGCAAACCCACAAACTTGATAAGGACTTGTTAGATCATATAATTGAGTTAGACAAGCTAGATAATCATTTAGAGCTAACAAAATGATAGTTGATGGAAAGCATTGATCATTGACAGAATTGAGGTGGAAGCCAAATTTGATGGCAGCAAAGCTGATCAAGGAAACAATGGGATAAGAAGGCTAGGGGATTACACAACAATTGTAATCGACCCAAAAAAAAGTAACAATGAGCAATAGTATATGAAAAGATGTACGGAGTAATAGAAATGTGAGGCCATATATGGAGACTGTGTTCAGGCCCGGCCCTGGGCAAGGGCAGGCTGGGCTTGTGCCCCGAGCCCAACATTCATAGGAGCCCATAATTATATATATATACATATATATATACATACATACATACATATATATAGAGGACACTTCGTATCAGACTGAGGTCATTTCCGACCCTTTCCGGATGAATTTTTTTATGAAACTTTTTGAGCATCTTCTTCATCAAGATTGGATTACATCCGCAAAACTTAAGCTTAAAATTCAACCGGAAAGTCATTTAAATAAAATATTGAAACATATTGTGCTTTATGTAAATCCAGATCAAAACCCGGTTCAGTTAGTTAAATATCTGGAAGTGGCTAAAAACTAGGAAAACCCGATTGATCAGGGAAAACCCGGTCGAGACGCAAACCCTAAAAACTTGGTATACTGGAAAACCCCGATTTTGATTGTTTTTCCCAAAAAAAAACATTTTTAAATTTCACTGCAAAAAAATTACTGATTTGGCACAAATTTACTGATGATTTCGTGCCAAATGGCTTGTGTCAAACTGTTTTTGGCACGGGTTTGGCATATCCCTGTCAAAATCCCTACCTGGGAAATCCCTGTCAAAAATTCCTATCAAACCCGTTTTTTGTAGTGTTCTTAAAATTTATATACCCAAAAAATGCGATTTTGATACCCTAAAAAGAATTTAATACATTTATATATTTATTTAAGAATCAAAATCATGCCATCAGTTTTAGGGATCTAAATTTGAGGGCCCCTCTCTCTAGGGTTATCGTCGGGTAACGCCCAACTTGTGTCTGCTGCCGGTATTGCCTAGGTGGTCTCGACCACCGTCGGTTGCTGGGTGGAGTATGGTGTTACTCTCGAACTCTTCGGGGTTTCGTTTGGTTGGAGTTTCTGTCTCAATCGAGGAATTCTTCGGCAGCAGGAGGTGGTTCGATGAATGTGACGGTTTCGTCAATTCGGCTTCCACGAAGGGTGTGTTTTGGTGCAGGGGATTTTTGCTGATGGGCGAGGCGATCGAGTTAGTGATCCTGCGCAGTGAATGGAGAGCATCGTTGATAAATACAAGAACATGGATCTTGATAGCTTGGATAAGGAAGAAGTGTCGGTGGAGGAAAACAATTCAGGTTTTCCGGTTATCGGCGTAATTTTGATAGATAGGAAGGTAAAATTTCCAGCCCTTAAAGAGATTTTGCCTTCGTTATGGAGACCAGGGAGAGGAATGACGGTTAAAGAACTTGGTGAAAAAAGGTATCTGTTTACTTTCTATCATCGTTTTGATATGAATAGTGTGCTTAAAGGAGCGTGAGCTTGAAGGAGGGCCTTGACAGTATGACCATAATTAGTTACTGCTAAAAGAGGTTAAACCTGGTGATATCCCACATAAGTATGTTTTAAATGAGGCTGGGTTTTGGATTCAAGTTCATAATGTTCCTTATAGCCTAGTTAACTTAGGTACTCCAAGGAGGGTTGGTAATTATATTAATTAGACAGTTTATAAAGTATGATGATATCAAGAATAACGAGCAGTGGAAGCCATATATGAGAATCAAGGTGTGTATGAAGGTTGAGAAATCTTTGAAAAAGGGTACGAATCTGAAAAAAGAAGGAAAGAGTTTTTGGATAGACTTCAAGTATGAGAGGTTTCCCAATTTCTGTTTCATTTGTGGTTTAATCGGGCACTCAAATAAATTCTATCCGGTGAACTATGAAGAAGATCTAGTGTTAGAGAAAAACTTTGGGGTCCATCTTAGGGCAGGAAGCAGGGTGAAGACTAGCCCTACAGGAGGTGACAGGTAGATACAGGTGGCAGAAAGTCTGGAGGGAGGAAAGAATCTGTTTCTGAATCAGAACAGAGTATAACTAAAGGAGGGGGGTGGAAACAAAGGAAGAATCTTCGGGGGAGCAGAAGAGAAGAAGGGTCTGGGAAAATCAGGGCGATAATAGAATTGGGGAAGATGGTATGGCTCTCGATGGGACAAAAAACGGGGAAGGGCGGGCTTCACTCAGTAAGCTTGCGAAAGATGTTGCAGTTAGGTTGGATGAAGAATGCTCGGGTGTTCGTGTGGATCAGCAGACGCGGACAGGGGCTCTATTTTATTTACGTCATTTTTTCGTTAGTTATAACTTTTCCTTTGGTGTGTTGTTTTTAATGTTTATTTTTCCTGCTTGTAAGACATTGAATTTGGATGTGGGTGATGAGAGGATTATGGTAACCGTCTTTGGCTTTTTTGTGCCCATTAATGGATCAACGAAATATATTGCTTCCTTGGAGGTGATTAATTCCGAGTCTGGTTCACGGGACGACGGTTGTCTGGAATCTTTTCGTCGGATTACCCATTATCTAAATGTTGGATTATCAATTTAAGCCTATTTTTTAAAAAAAGAATGAAAATCGTGCCATATTATATTAAATATGTGCATTAGAAATAAAAAATACGGAGTATCATTATATATTTTAATAGGTTCAGAATTACTCCCTCCGTCCCTTATAACTTTGTCAACTTTCCTTTTTTGGTTGTCCCAAAAATTTGCCACTTTCCATTTTAATCAATTAATTTGTGGCTCATGTTATTTCTCTCTCCTCTGCACAAATCTCTACCACACAGTTTTTACTTTATTATTCTACGTGCCGGTCAAACATGACAAACCTTTAAGCGACGGAGGGAGTATATTTTAGAATATTATGAGAGTGGTTTTCCGGCGTTGACGAGATTACCCACCTGGTTTGGATTGACCTCTGACTGAGTTATGTTGTGTTGCTTCTGGCTCCGATTTTTTAAACATAGGTTAGAGGATGACTATTATTGTCGTATAATAAATTAAATTAAATACTTCGTGGTTCAATATTTTTCTTATTAGTATTGAATATAATTAAATTTCAATCGTATGAAGGCCAAAAATAGAATTATCTTGAATAGGGTTGAACTTTCATTATTAGATGATGACCAGTCTTTTACCTGTTGATATACGCGCAATTTTTGCAAACTCCATCTATCAATCATGATTACCATGAACGATAATCATACGGAGTATATCATTGGAGAAGTCTAATTAATTAGCTTCTAATTCGGTTTTAAGAAATAAGATTTTTACAAACAAATTACGTTTCCTAATTTTTATTATATTCAGTTTTAGTATATCCCATCAATCATGATTACCATGAACGATGAATCATGAACGTATCATATATCATTGGAGAAGTCTTAGCTTCTAATTGGGTTTTAGGAAATAAGATTTTTACAAACAAATTATGTTTCCTAATTGTTATTATATTCAGTTTTAGTATATCCCAGAATTATATTCCTATACGGACTACGGAGTATGCATGTTTCCTAATTGCATGAAATTCGACTTCATATACGTAGTATATACTACGTACGTAATATTAATATAAATACATAAACATCCGCATGCAGGCCCTAAGGATTGGTAGCTAGCTAGGTTCTCTATTAATTTCCTCCATCTTAATTAACATCCTCGCTTAGATTCTCGAAAGATAGAATGGCCTATACTACATTCTTGCCCAATGATATAATCCTGGAAATTCTCAAAAGGCTTCCTGCCAAGTCTCTTATGCGGTTCAAGTGTGTTTCCAAAGGATGGCTGAATATGATTCTTCATCCTTTCTTCATAGAATCGCACCAGAACCACGCCCGAACCCGCCCCGATGCCTCTCGCCGCTTGTTTGCCTATTCTGATCGCTATAATCATCTCGTATTATCTTACCATAATAATGATCACCCGGAACTTCTTATCCAGACATTCTTCTCCACAAATATGAAGCTTGATTTTACCTCTTCACAAATTCTCTATTCTCAATCTCCCCTCTGGCTTGGCGCTAATACCCGCATAACTAGTGAGTGTCAAGGAATCTCAAACATCGCCAATGGTCTTATTTGTGTTCATAATTACGATGTTGGTTGTCTTGAAAAACAATCTCTTTGGTTGATAAACCTTGCCACAATGCAAAAGAGATCCCTCCCAATCCCAAGGGTGTGCTTCTTACACAGGAGCTCCTATTTTCTTGGGTCTGATTCATCCTCCAAAAAGTACAAAATTCTTCATTTTTGTAGTGGGGGGGAATATGATTGCCAGGTTCTGACTGTGGGAAGAAGGAGATGGAGGCGAGTCATCGGGCGAAATCCCGGTAAAGAACTTGGATTGCCTGAGGCTATGTCCACGGATGGAAGAATATATTTCAAGGTGGGAAATAGAGATCTTCATGTCCTCACATTCTTTGACTTGCATACCGAAAAGTTTGCACATCTTTCTATTCCAGAAGCCTCTCTTCCTCGAGAAGGTAATACGGGATGGCTTTACTGTCCTTATTATCTTCAAGAACTTTTCGAGATTAGAGGAAAGTTGGGACTCGTTCGTGGATTGAAAGTTTGGATTTTGGAGGAGACCGGTTGGATTGAAAAGAGCATAATCCTTCCCAATCACGTATATAACGGTACATTTGTTGGTTATGAAAGGAATAGCAAGATTATCATCAAGTCTTCCCAAGGGGGTGATATGACTTCAAAATACTTCCTCTATGATTTGGACACATCAGAGTGTGCAGAGGCTCCAGGAATCGCTATCCACGATTTGAACTTTAGTAATTACTTATTTGGTTCACATCTTCCTTCGGATGTTTGTAACATGAAACTCTTCAATTATATTGAAAATATCACAACATTGTGAATTTTTTCCATCATCCTATATTGTATTAATTTGAATGAAACATTTTTTGGATTCCCGTGGATTTAAAAGAAGTGAGATTTTTTCCAACTAGAACAAGTATACTACATACGTACCATGAGCAATTAGCTAGCTAGTTACTTTTTGATTTAATATAATGAACAAGCCATTTAGATTTATTAAAAGATGTGATCATCCTCATTCTTGGTGCAAAATAAGTTGGTATTTAATTGTATGTATCATTTAAATTTGACGTCTTTGTGCTTGCTAGTGCTTCTAAAAATGATCACTCTAATGATTATAATAATATTGATGTAGTTTAATACTTACAGACTTACAGTAGAAGTAAGTAGTATGGTAAATTAAATGAGATTTTATTTTTAAAGTAAAAATTATTGGTGTGTCTAATGAAAATAATAATCGTGAGTGGGGTGAAACTGCCGTGAAAGTATAAAAATGCTCAAAGGTTATTGGGAGAATGTGATGTATTCGTTTTATCATAAACAGTATTATGTTTAGTCGTTTAGGGAATTAGGGCCGCTGCCAAAACTTAGAATTATTATTTGATGAAATATGAGGAGCGGTTAAGAGCGGTGAAAGACCTAGGGAGGGGCCTAGGGGACATGTGCCCCGCTTATGACCATAAAGTTTAGTATTAGTACTTAAGATACAAATTGTGTCTCTCATTTGAATATTTGAAGGTTGAAGAGGGGAAAGGTTCCATGTGAACGGCACTTGCACATGGGTTAGTCGATCCTAAGGGTCGGGGGAAGCCCGACAGACAGCGCGTTAAGTGTGTGCACCGAAAGGGAATCAGGTTAAAATTCTTGAACCGGGACGTGGCGGTTGACGGCAACGTTAGGTAGTCCGGAGACGTCGGCGGGGGCCTCGGGAAGAGTAGCCTCATAACAGTGTCCCTCCCATCCGAACAAAAAATTAGAGTATTTTTCACTAATATTACCGGAGTATAACTAATGAACAACATCATGGTCACTAAAATTGCTATGGTAGTACCAAAGTCATATTTTTGTCCACTATCTTTATTTCAATTATATTGTCATTATTTCAAAAAACTATTAGATATAAAGGACTCCGTCGAAGACATATAATAATTGTAGTAAGAAATACTACGTATAAACAACTCTGAAGTTGTGATGGAGCAAATTCTTATAGTTAGATATGTTGTTATATGAGTCTACATTTTCTTTGAAAAGTGGTATTGATGATTTTTTACTCGGTGTGAATAATATCGATTCAAAGTTAAAGCTCAAAGATATGAAAAAGGTTCTAATATGCGGGATAAACTTAATAGATTGAAGACTTTTGTCTTGAATAAAAGTCTATACATGAAAAAACGTGTCAATTCGCGATACTCGTAAAAGGTAGATATATAGAATCATATTATTAAATAAAGTTGTATTAAATGATAAAATCCTAAACTTGACTTATACTTCATTTTTAACACGATAGTATTATATTTGAGGCAAGTACCAACAAATTTTGTTGCACAATGTATAACAACGACATGAACTCAGTTCAAATATGAAATCTTGATCATTTTATAGTATGAAAAATAGCGAAAATTCTAATGTAAAATCATAAACGGCGCAAAGATGAGTCATTTTTAATCCGTCAAATTATGTCTTTCTTTCAAAAAGTCAAATATTATTGTTTAGAATTGTCTTAATGAGTTCACAATCAAACTTATAATCCATATATGTTCACTGCTTGACGTCAGTATTGAACTCTGTTCTAAAAAACATTCTAGGCGTCCGACTAGTCCTCGCCTAGGCGCTAGGCGGTGGTCGGGCGCCCCGATTTTTGCCTAGGCGCTGTGATTAATTGGTTTGACATCTAGGTGAATTAGTCGGCCGCTTATGGCGCCTAGTTGCCTGCCCAGAGCGCCTAATCGGTCGCCTAGGTCGTCTAGATTTGTCGAACATTACTTTACTTATAATTTTAATTTTCTAAGTGACATAAGTACTTTAACTTTAGCCCTGGATATAAAGAAATGAAGTTGTAAATTAAAATAAAGACTATATATGTTTGTATATACCTAAATTTTTAGTATTATTTAAATTTATAACATAATGATGTTACGTGATTAGTTAATTATCATATATTGTACTACTTATGAGTAAATGTGATAATTTTTCATTCATATTTATTAATGTATGTGTATATAGGTATTTTATACACACAAGAATATAATATAACTTATCATATGTATGCAAAAATATAGATAAAAATATAATTTTTATGTCTCTGATTAGTCCCCGACTAGGCGCCCGACTAGCCGCCTAGGCGCTGGGCTGGCGCCCGACTAGCGTCTAGCGTCTTTTAGAACAGTGGTATTGAATAATCTATTTCCAATTAAAACTATTAATTTGAATGCACTTGACAAAAAAGACCAATGATACACCCAATTCGGCCCGACCCGACCCATTTTCATCTATGTGAGAGTGCCCCGCTTCGTAAAACTTCTGGGTTCGCCTCTTAAGAGCATACAATCACAATCATGGCCATTGCTAAGGTCTTAAGACCATTTGTAGTGGTTGGGAGGCTAAAAAGTTAAAAATGGACTCCGTCCATATGAAAACAGTGTATAGACTCCTATTCCTTGCATCCCAGCACCGTCAATAAAATACATTCAGCATATTTTTTCACATATCAATTTAATAAAACATTAGTTAAATCATCATAAGTAATATTTTCAATTTACTTTTTTCCCTAAATAATTATGGAATAAAAAATACATATTTCGATGTGAAAATAAATAAATTTCCTTAATTTTTTTTACGTTTTTCGGTTAACAAAAAATGAATTTAGTAAAGTTTTATTATGGAATATTTAGTTATGTGTAGAGGCTCCATGAATTAAAAATTTGTGTCTTGTGTTTTTTCAGGCTCAAGAAAATTCCAATAGTTAAAACATAAGATTTTTTTTTATTTTATATATTACATGTTGGTGTCATATGAAAGATAATAAAAATTCGTAAATTTTGATATATCTTTTGAAAAATTTGGAGAACAAAAAAAAAGTTATAAGAGTTTTAAAAAATTTGGGATTAGAATGATGCAGGGATGACATCATCCTCACATCCATACAATGCATTCTTGGTCATTCCCTTCCCTATTTCTTTCCTTTTTCTTTTTTCCACTCCTACCAACCCACCTTCTATTTCTAACACCCTTCATCCCCTCTTCCATTTTTAATACCCTATTTAGCCTACCACTACATGAAATTAGGAGTCCAAAAGTTCCATCTTTAACATTTTGGACTCCTAATACTACCCACTCCAAATGGCCTAAGGCACGTTACGTTTCCTTATATATGTTGACTATAAAGCTTGAAAAAACGCTATACAGTTTACACTATTTAAATGGGAAATCTAGTTGACTGATTTTAAGGAGGCTGATTTCTAACAAAGAGTAACAAAAATTCTACTTTCGGAAGATGAATTGAGAAAAGTTCATTCATTCTTCTAGTATCCCTCTCATCGAGTCATCGGTATGTAATTCTTATTATTCTGCAGACTCATGGTTTTAATGTTTTATCGAATCTATTTTTTATTTATCATATTTAAGCTTTAAGGTTATTTTAATTTTGGAAAATTGAAAACAATAGCAACCAAAATCAACACTTAGCAATCACTTAGTAATCAGTTAATTATAAATCTGAAAAGCAAACATCTTGAAGATCTTGTAAATACTGCTAACCATTTTCCTTGTTGGTTGTCCCTTATAGTCATAGCAATGCCGGGCTAAAATGATTAATTTAAGTCTGCAGTTGATTTGCAATGATCACTTCCGTGTTGACCGTGTATGGACATGAAGGTTGCTCTTTAAATTGTATGGAGACCGTAGTATTACTATAAGTGTAAATTAGATTTTTAAACTAAATTTATTTATTATTAATATCTAATTTGAATGTTGTGGTTAGTAAATAGGGACTGTAATTTCGATTGAATATTACCCATTTAATATTGTCTATGTTCTTACGTTTTGACTTAAATTTGATTTTGTCACTTTTTAAACTCAACAAAGATGGCTTTGATGTCAACATAGTTTTATTTACTCTCTTTTGCTCTCTGCAATTAATTTTAGTCATTTTTTGTTTTAAAAAACAAACAAATAATTGTGGCAGAAAACTATTGGACTATATTGAAAATATTACATTATTGTGAACAAAATAGTTGGTTTTGACCATTAATATGTACTTTGATCTGCTTTTTCCCCCTTTCATCCCTGTATTATTTTTTAACAGTACAATTTTTTATCCCCAATTCCCTTGAAATGAAGAAAGCACTTGGATTTTTCCAGCTAGAAAAAGTAATCTACCACTACTCCACCAACATGTTCAGAAAAGCTGAAATATATAGATGAAGCTAGTTACTAGTTAAAATAAAACTGGAAAATGTTCCTGAGATTACAAGCAACCCACATTTTCTTCATCTGGATTTCTACCTCCGTACGTACTTTGGTTGAGACTTGGTGAAATATTGCCATTCATGTCTGCAAGCTCTTGCACACGTAAGAGAATTGGAGCCGGGATCAGCATAGACGCATTTTTCTTTGAATTATTATGTAGCTGTAAAGTGCACGTTAAAAAAATCATATTTTAGAATAATACTACGTAATTAGGATAAATAAATTGTGTGAGGATTATTAGAGCCCTATGTTACCTTATTTCCTTGCTTATCTGCCTTTTTAGCGAAACTTTAACATTTTGTTAGTAAATAAATCACTCTTTTGATCAAGTGAATCATTCACCAATTGACTAACAATACATTGATGAACGGAGAGATAATCAGCACAAGCATCTGAGCTAGAACTAGCCATCCTAGCTGAAATATGAGCAGCCCGGTTCGTAGAACGCTTATTATCGAAAAGTGACCTTATTTAGATAATAAAAATCTAATGTCTTCCAATAATAACTCCAAATAGGAACCTTCATCTGTGCCTTTATCTCATCCATTTATAGATATTATTATTGTGTTTTCTTTAATTTATTAATTTAACTCGGCAGATTAGGCCAACAGAACCGCAAGTCTGCAACTTTAGCAAATTAAATACATTCAGCCGAGTTAAGCCATTTTCTATATTATATTACTATCACTTGGGCTCTTATTAAAATCATTACCTCAATCAGTAAATAAATATAAAAATGAAAACTCACCCGATTTTCTGCAGGCAACTGTACAAAACTAGCTTTCAGCAAGTTTCTCCACTTGTCCTGCATTGGAATAAAATGTTTCAGTGTTGACCCAGCCACATTTTTTCAATGATCTTATATAAGCCTGAAAGTGGCCTGATAATAATAGACAGATTTACAACCTACCTTGAGGTCCACAGGAGTCCGATATGGACAATTTGCAAAAGAGAGCCGTTTAATTTCAGACCATCTACCGACTCCAAACTTAGACACACCTTCAACCAGTTCAGTGACCTCATTGATAGTCCAAGGTCGGTGGTGCTTTCTCCTCATTCCAACCGCGGGTGTGGCCATGTTCAACATCATATTATAATCTGAATGGCCATCCCCATATGAATCTATGTGTTCATGCTTAGTTTGAGTACACACATCTTCCACGGTTTTCCTTACAGGGAAGTGCTTAGCTTTCTCGTCAGATGTACTGATATCCTAGAAGATAAAGAAACGAAATTAAAGAGAAATGAAATTATAATGTAATATGGATTATTGCATATCTGTGAAACGTGTTTTGTAGATATAAACAAGTTAACAATCCAAAATTGAAATTCAAAAAAATCATGAAGCTTATAGTCCAGCTTATGCCATCCATAACTTCTGGTTCAATTTTAAACCATATCATATTATCATTAGTAATACTAATAACACTCCAATAGAGGATGGAGTAACAATTAAAGAGTATATTTTAATATTGACAGGTTTGATGAAATAAAATTAATAGAAAATTGAAGTTATTGACCTTATCTGTTTCATCAAATTGCAGATCTCCAGGACTAGGCTCCTTCTTCACCTGTTCTTCTTCACTTGTCCCATTGGGCTGCAGTTTCTATAACACACATCTTAAAACTCATTAGAGAATAAATCTTCATGTTCAACAGCATATCATCATGACATCATAAATCAGCATAAAAAAGTTGACCACCACACATAGACCACTTGAGAACATTCTTGTTTGCTTACCAAAGTCATAAAGTTTTCCCTAGGACGTCCTCTCCGAATTCGAGAAACATATGGAATTTGCATCTCAGAACCTCCAAGTGAATCTTTCCTCATAACAATAGGATCCCCATCAAGAGGGATGTTTACAATAGATATCACATGATTACGTGGATGTGCTGATTCGTAATCACAACTTTTTTCTGAATGCATAGACTTCCCACTAGTTTCCCTGGAATCCACTTCTGAAATTTCTTCGATATATCTTTTTGTAGGTTTCCGAACTCTTTTGGTTGCTCTTTCTTCCCTGTTGAGATCCTCGCTAACATTAAAGCCTTCTAATGCGTTTGGTATATCCCTTTCAGTAGTAGTACTGGCTGGAATCTCATGGCTAGAAGCACCTCTAAATTTAGTATTTTCCAATGCAAATATAGGATCCTCTGAAATTGAACCATTGACATTTCCATTGTTTTCTTCTTCAACTTTCTTCACAACCCCATTGCCTTCAATCACAAAATGAGTGCATGAAAAGTCACATGAATTTGATAATCCCATGGAAATCCTCCTCATAAGCCAAGGTTTGTCCTTAACTAAAGTTTCTCGTCCGAAGGTTGCTTTAAAAGTTTCTTGAAGATCTTTTACTGTCAATTTCTCCAAAAATATTTCCCCATTTAACTTTGAAAAATCTGGCATCAAGCTAGCTCCAGTAGTGGATGTTGAAATATTATTCTCACCGGCATCTAAGTTTGAACATCCATCGGTACTGCCAAATTCTTCATTAGTGATATATTCTGAGTTTAAGGGAGGGGCAGTTGCCTGCAAATCAATTCTAAATTGGAACATCTATCACAGGAAAGAAATTTAATAGTATTTCTGTAACATTAATGACATAAAAGAACCTGGTCGTATGAATGCATGGTACAATAACAAATTAAGTTATTAACACCCCAACCCCTAAGTTGAACCCCCATCCCAAATCAAAGTCATGTTTGAGTAGTGTACCACTTTGTATTTTTAGTCAACTAAATCAATGCATAGTCCTTGAAGATTATAAATCCCCTTTTATATCCTTATATTCATTTACAGAGTATTTATGTTAATGCAGATTGCAGACATCTCTCTCTTATTCTCCATCATTTCTGATGGAGCCAAAGACTCACTATATTTTGGCTTGGGAAAATGATGGAATAAAGCAAAACGGCTCACTAAATTGTTTGTGCTTCTTTGTCATGAAGCAGCGATCAATTAATGCAATTTTCAATGCGATTTTTATGATAGGTCATCTGGAAACAGTCTCTCTCTCTGTGCTTTAGTACAGGGGTAAGAATGCGTACATCCGACCCTCCCCTTACCCACATAGTAGGTGGGAGCCTAGGTGGGAGCCTTTGTGGCACTGGGGTAATGTTGATGATGAGACATCCCTCTCTTATTGCACTATATAGTATGAGCATATATCACAAAAGAAATCACAAATTCTCCAACAAAGCTTTTTACAGTTTAACTTCACTCTGCAACTTGTACTCTTAAACAAAGCTCTCCAGAGCTTGACGGCTAAATTTTTTAAGACATTTTGTTACGAGAGTAATACAAAAATACACTTAAAATCAATGTTCACTTTTATAAGAAGACTTTCTTTGGGGGGCACTGACACATGACCCTTTTATGGGACAGAGGGACTAATAAATAGATCATAGAAAATTAGAAAGTATAGGAATAAATACAAAGCCACATACATTTCCTTGAGTATTCATGCTGTCTAAATCAGGAAGCAATGGGTGTGGTATATTGGAGGTTACCACGTCAGCAGCATGTTTTTCTGGCTCTGATTGTCCTGGGCCCAAGACAAAGGTATTGATATCAGGGACAAGCACTTAATAAACCACAATAAGCTTGACGATACAAAAGGATATATACAAGAGAGATAATAGAACAAGAGCTACCGGAAGTAACCATAAAAAGAACCATTTGTAATTTTTCAGTTGAAATTCAACTAATTGGGATACTTCAATTTAACATAGAATCCAATAATATATGGAGGCATTTTGACCTTGCGGTTTTTCAAACTGTGTTTTTCCAAAACAGAATACTTCGGTTCCATTGCACTCTATAGTTTGTTTAGCATCTATGATATGACCAAATTCATACTTCTCGTCTTCAAGTAACTCTTCAACTGTCATCAATTCATCATCTGTTGCAGGCACTAGCCGACCATCCCCATGAACCTACAAGTTTCATGAAGCATGGCTATGTTTGAGAAAGCATAAAGGCTGAATCAAATTACTCCCTTACTTTCAGATTGGAATATTGGATGAAATGTACGGCATGATAATCACAAATTACTGATATGCATAGCACTTCAAGTAAATAGTACTAAACCCTAGAAGTGAAGTAGCAGTTTGGGGTGGAGCCCAGGGTCAAGGTGAGGCAGCTGACCCCCTGAAAGTTTTGTGCATGCAGAGAGGACTAGAGGGTTAAAACTCCTTCAATTTAATATATTGAGGATCACATTTTCAAGGCAACAGTTATGACCTTTGGAAATTCATCTATGTTTAGATTTTAAAATACATAAAATATGAGATCATTGTGTCCTCTCAATTTTGCAGAACAATGACACCCTGAAATTTTTTGTGCATGTCGAGGACTAGAGGATTAAAATTCATCTATTTAATATATCATGGGTCTCATTTTCGAACTCAAAAGTTACGACCTTTCAAATTTATCTTTTGTCTAAATTTGAAAATTCATAAAATATGAGATCATTTGACGGTTTATCCTCTCAAATTTAAAGAACTTTGAACTCACACTGACAAGAGTATACAGGAATCTAAACATGTGAAACTCAGTTTTAGAATTTAATTTGCACTCATCTGTGAGCACGTGAGAAACATTAATTTTCTCTACTTAAGTGTAAAAATGAGATTTATACATAATTACAGAGATTTATACATAATTACATACAAGCTTCAGTTCCAAACTTTATTACTCCGTATTACATTTGAAAATTAATATTGGTTCACCCATTAACTTCTTTGAGCCTATGAATCTATGATACATATATACCATACTAATGTACTCTTTAAGCATAACTTAAACTCGTTTTACCTCACCCTAGATATAAATGGTTCAGCTAATCAGCTCAAATATTGTCTCTAAACAACCCTTTGAGTCTTTGACTATTGTGTATAGCTAAATTTCAAGGACTAATACTATATGGATTAACTTCAAAATTGCACAGAAAAAAGTGTGATGACATTTAACACATACCATGGAATACCTTTACCATATAAAATTCATGAGACAATCTAGACTAACGAACATACATACTCAGGCCAAAAAAATGCATCACATAACAGAAATGAAAACATTTACGGGGTAAAGGAAAATGATAACTTTTAAAAGATTAGGTTACCACTACCATAGCTGCATATATTGAACTATCAGACATAAACGTTTTCACATTAATATTTAGCACCATATACTACAATTAATACCCGAACAAGCTTGTAGAGAATGGGTTCAACAGTTTCCTGATGCAAACTCGGGCTATCCACAACTTTATCTTCACCAATTGTCTCCACTGCAAACATTGATTCCATGGGCAATCCAGTATAGGCAACTGAAAGGCACAAAACCAAAAACAAAATTAGCATATATTAAGCTCCAATTTGTGGATGAAATGAAAGCCCCAATTTACACAAAATTATGCGCAAGTACTTACACAATCCCCTCAACATAGAGTACACATAACAATAATGTTTATTGAGTAACACGACATTAAACGGACCAAGAAGCTGCAATCACACCTCAACGAGGCTACTATCCATGTTGCTTGTCTATCCAGAACCAGATGGTAGAAGTCTCCCGAGTATGGAATATGAAAACGACGTGGAACAATTGATTGACAGCTGCTTCTCGAATGTCGACGAAGGGATGAGCAGAAGAGTATAGAACGGTTTCGTTTTCAATTGAAAATATTAACCGATGAAATTAAGAGGGAATTTATTTTATTTTTATCTAATCGGCGATTGGATTTTGCCTTGTGTCAGCGACTCGGAATGTGCTTCTCCGCTGCGCTGGGCCTACCATATTAGTCCCGGAATCGAAATGCATTATGAATTTGGGCATCAGAGCGCGCGTGGAATCCATTGTGCTCATCTTGCATGCGTCCTAAACTGGAGCATAACGCGGGAGCATAAAAAGTACTCTCTCCGTATCAAATTAAATTGACTCACTTTCCCTTTTGGAACGTATCAAAATAAATATCCCATTTTCATTTTTGGAAATAAACTCACCCAAAAGCAGTTACAGTACCGCTACAGTACTAAAAATCTCCTATTTTACATATATTTGCCTTAAACTACGTGAAAAAGCATACGGGTCAATTAATTTGATACGGAGGGAGTACTACCTCTGCCCCAATGATTTTATTTGAACTCTAATTTATTAGTCTGATCTAATATGTTTAAATTTGGTCTGGTTTAGTATGAATCCCTTTAGTCTGGTTTAGTAACTTTATGATCTTTGTATATTTTATAACTATGAAAGTCAAATTTGATTCGATTTGGCCTGTTTAAATCTAGTTTAGTCTATTTGAGTCTGGTCTGGTTTGGTCTGTGACTAAAACAGTCCAAGTAAAAATATCCCAACATTGGGACAAATAAAAGTAGCACGGTTATTAAAAAAATAATTTATGTGATTAATATTGATAAAATAAAAGTAAAAATGAAGTAAGAACGATTTAGAACCACACAAATCTTATCAAATTTAGTATGAGAGAATCTTATTGGGACGGATCGAAAAAGAAAGATGGGACAATCTTAGTGTGCCAAGTAGAATAATAGAATACTCCGTTTGAATTAATTTTTCATAATTTAAGTCATATAAACTTCTCAAAAACTACTTCTAGAAATAATTTAGGATTTTTTATTTGGATAAATTTCAATTCGAGACCAGACTTAAACAGATCATATCAGACAAGACCAGGCTTCCATGGTTATAAGATACACAGAGATCAGACATTTACCAGACCAGAACAGACCAGACTTAAACACACTTGGGAGTATTTCTAAACTTTCACTTAATCACTTTACTATCTATTTTCCACTTCTTCAAAGAATAGTAGTTCAAACATTTCTTAAGAGTATTTTTGAAATAATTCTACTTTCGCTCCTTTAAGTAGAATCACAATCATATTTGGAGTCCATTTGATAACACTCAAATTGATTGAATCGGCTGATTCTGCTGAAATTTATAAAGTTCTGATTTATGGGGGAGTAAAATATTTATTACTCCCTCCGTCCCAAAAAGGTTGGCCAAATTTCCTTTTTTGGATGTCTAGAAAAGATTTGTCATTTCTATTTAAAGTAAGGAATATGGGGCTAAACTTAATTCTCTTTTCTCTACACAAATTTCAACCACACAGTTTTTACTTTATTAATCAACATGAAAATCAACTTTGGCCAACCTTTTTGGGATGGAGGAAGTATTAATTAAATAAAGAAAACATTATATGAACAATAGCTAATTGGAGATAAATAACTCCAACTGAGGAAGTAGTCCAGCTCAACTGGTCGCCGACTCACTCTCCCATATGGGAGGTCCTAAGTTCAATTCTCAATGAAGTGAGGTTTATCTCAGTTTACCTCAGGCCCCCCTGACCCCCCCCCCCCCCCCTTGACCCCCCTCAGGGTAAAAATAAAATAAAAAAATAACTTCAACTTTACTTTCTCTTATTATTACACATTTCGCCGCGTCAAATCAAAAATTATGCGTTTGGTAAAAAGTTCGTTGGTAAGCCCATTGAGCCAAAAAACAGGGTCATCAAATGAGCTCCTAGTTTTAGAAATTGGTCTCACTCAATTTATAAAATCGACTTTTAGAAGTCATTTGGAGAACTTTGAAATAATTATCCACTTCCAAGTTCCACCCACATATTACTCCGTATAATATATGTTTCTGCTCTCTTGAGAAACATATATGAGTGTTGCACGGAGAATAGGGTATAATAACTGGTTTGTAGTAGATTGGGTTGGCCACCAGGGTGGGATTGCTCTCTTGTGGAGAGATGGAGTGGAAGTGGAGGTTATTGGTTCATCAAGCAACTACCTTGATGCAAGTGTCAGGCTGGAAGCAGAGGACTTCCCTGGAGGTTTACTGGCTTTTATGGTTTTCCGGGCATAGCTTGGAGGAAGGATTCCTGGAATCTACTACGTCACCTTGTTTCACTATCTTTACTTTCATTTCTTATCATGGGGGACTTTAACGATATCATGTTCCATGGTGAAAAGAGAGGTAGCATACCTAATCCGCGTTGGCTCTTACAAGACTTTCGTGAGGCTGTCTCGGCAAACGGTTTGCTAAATTTTTCATTTGATATATACCAATTCACTTGGGAAAGAAGAAGAGGTAATAGTAGATGGTTCCAAAAGAGAAATTGGATCGGATTTTGGTTTCACCTAGCTGGGAGGAACGATTTCCAGGAGCAAAGGCAGTCTCGGTTGAAGGGACATTGAGTGATCATTTAGGCCTCTACATAAAGCTTGGCCCGAGATTGAGATATAATCGAAATAGACGATTTAAATTTGAAAATTTGTGGCTACAGGAGGAGGATTGTAGGGAAGTTGTTGAAAGGAGCTGGGGCATGAGTAGAGGGCTTGGCCTGGCAAATCAGATCAAACTATGTGGTGAGGCTGTAGGTAGCTGGGGAGGAAAGGAAAAAGGGAATGAGAGGGACGATTGAGTTTCGTAAAAAGGGCTGCGATTTCTAAGAGGGAGAATTGATAGTTTTAGTTTGAGTGAGTTTGGAAAAGTAAAAGGGGAATATGTAGAATTACTTGACAAACAAAATTGCTTTTGGAGACAGAGGGCTAAATAGTTTTGGCTGAGGAAAGGAGACATGAATACGAGATTCTTTCATAACTCGGTGAAAACAAAGGAGACGAAGGAACCAAAAAGAGGGTTGTAAAGTGCCAAGGGGGAGATTGGAGAAGGAGAGGACAGAAGTGGGCAGGATGTCGGTGGAGTATTTTTCTAACATTTTTACTTCTTTGCAGGGAAATATGGATACAGTCCTGTTCATTGTTGATCATTTGGTCTCGGATGATCAGAATTAGTACCTTTTGAGGCCTATTATAGAACAAGAGGTTAGAGAGGGTTTTTCCAGCACTTTTGGGAGGTGGTGGGGCCCGAAGTGGTAGATTTCTGCAAGCAAACTTTCCTTACAGGTAAGCTCCCTGAAGCAGTGAATCATACACATATAGTCTTCATCCTTAAAAAGGATAAGCCTGAGACAGTAGCCGATTGGAGACCTATTTCATTGTGTAACGTTGTTTATAAAATTTTCTCCAAAGTGTTGGCTAATAGAATGAAACATATGTTTGATGGGCTTATTTCTCAGAATCAAAGTGCGTTTATTCCTAGTCGATTGATAGTTGATAATATAATGAAAACTTTCGAAACCCACCACTTTCTTAAGAATAAAAGGCAGGGTGAGGACGAGTATGTGGCACTAAAACTTGATATGAGTAAAGCATATGACCGGGTTGAATGAGGTTTTCTAGAATGCATGCTTTTAAGACTAGGCTTTGCATCTAAGAATATGAAGAAGCGTCAAGTCACATGATTAATTATCATAAATCTACCCTTTATTTCAGTGTGAATGTTGTTGGGGATGTTCGGGAGGGCCTTAAGGAAATGCTAGGAGTAGGGCCCATGGAGGCCGGGGCAAGATACCTCGGTCTACCTTCCCTTGTTGGCACAAATAGGAGGGAGGTTTTGGGGTTCATAAAGGAACGAGTTATTAAGCGAATAAATGGGTGGAATCACACATTTCTATCTAAAGCACGTAGAGAAGTACTTTTGAAAACCGTTGTCCAAGCCATGACTAATTATGCATTGAACGTTTTTCTGCTTCCTTGTGATATGTGCATGAAACTAGAATGAGTCAAGAATGGATTTTGGCGGACAGGTGCATCAGGAAGAGGCATTCGTTGGAAGGATTGGGCTGGGATGAGTTTTCCGAAGAAAAAGGGGGGAATGGGATTTAAAAGGATGTGGGAATTTAACCTGCCAATGCTCGGAAAACAAGCTTGGGGGATCTTTAAGCACACTACAAGAAAAGTTCACATAGACCGCACATAGACCAATTTTTTGTTTGCGATGGCCGCATAACTGTCGTTAAAAACACCACAAACTACACATTTTTTTATTTACCACATACAAAACTGTGGTAAAAGGTCAGAGATGACAAGTTTTAACCGTGGCCAATGTTTTTACCACGGCTGTTGTGGCGACGCACGTAAAACTGACGCAAAACTGTCGTAAATGCTCCTCCTTATGTTTTTACGACAGTTTTGCGACAGTTTTACATGCGTCGGCACAACAGCCGTGGTAAAAACATTGGTCACTGTTAAAAACTGTCGTCTCTAAGCTTTTACCACATTTTGTGTGTGGTAAATAAAAAAATGTGTGGTTGATGGTGTTTTTAACGACAGTTATGCTGGTATCGCAAACAAAAATTTGTGTGTCCATGTGCAGTCTATATGCACTTTTCTTGTAGTGCTGCCGGATTCCATAGTTGCCAGAGGTTTAAAGGCAAGGTATTATCCCCGTTCTTCCTTCATAGAGGCTAAAATTGGGCACAACCCATCATTTGTATGGAGAAGCATTTTTGAAACACAATCTCTTATAAAACAAGGGTTCATGTGGAGAGTGGGGGTGAATCAATTAATGTTTGTCATGATCCTTGGTTAGCTTGTCCTCATAACCCGAAAGTGGAGTCTGTTGTAATTGAGGAGTTGGAAAATTGTACAAGCTTATTACATGCAGAAGGAGCAGCCTGGGACATTGGTATTCTTACTGATTTGTTCAATAGCAAGTGTGTGCAGGCTGCCTCCCTACGGCTAGCAAGTGAGCGGCTAAGCGGGTGGGTTGTTCTCTACTATGTCCCACGTGTTCTTCGAGGGAGGAGAACTTGCTTCATACATTGAGGTTCTGCCCTGTAGCGCAGCAGGTATGGAGCATGAGGAAATGGAGCTTTGCAGTAGCAGCGG